AATCCTTCTGGGCTTGAAGGTGCATACCTGTAATCCCAAGGAAGGTGAGGAGTTTAAGATTGTCTTCATTTATATTGTTCAAGGTCTCAAACAAAACAAAAAAGGATGGAGAACTGTTTTCATCCAAATGTAAATGTTCTGCCCAGCAATGAAAAAAATAACCAGAAAGAAGAGAAATCCTGTAGATTCAGAAAAAAATCTTTGCCAGCTTTTCTTCCAACATGGGATTAACATTCAAAGCATAGTTAAGAATTCAAAAATAGGTAAACACCTAAAGACCAGACATCCAGTGAACAAATGTATAAATTGAAGTCATTCATCTGAAAATATTAAAAATGATCAATAAGACATGGAAAATGTTTAGCATATTTACCAGTTAGGGAAATGCAATGCAAACTATAGTCTGATCAAATCACATACAAAGCAGCATGGTTTTGATCAAGAAAATAAGACTCAACCCGTTTTCGAGTACACAGGAAACAAAAAAACCCCTTATCCCTGGTAGTAAAAATATATGGTTGGCAAGCCTCTATGGAAATCACTTTGGAGTCTTTTTTTCATGGAAAAACTACTGTATGATGTGAGTATCTAACTCCTAGCTATGTGTAATACATGAATCAATTAATGTAAACATATGTTTCCCTGCAGGGTTATGTTTTTTCAAAGTACCATTTACAATAGGTGAGATACTTTCTCAGCCTTTGTACCCATCATTAGATTCATAGATAAAGATAATGCATAGTCAATAATGGAGGATTGTAGCCCAAAAGAAAAGCCAGATAATGTTTGCAGAGTATTGATAAAAGGGCACTTCATTATTTCAATTGAAATGAGTCATATTTAGAATGACACATATGAAATTTTTGTCTCATATAGGTGTATATCTCTATGAATGTAAAGAATGCGGGAAAGCTTTCTCCTACAAGTCTCATTTCACCCTACATCAGAGAATTCATGCAGGTGTGCATCCCTATGAATGTAAAGAATGCACAAAAGTTTTTTACTGGAAGTCAGAGCTTACTCAGCATCAGAGAACTCATAAGGGTGTATATCCCTATGAATGTGAAGAATGCGGGAAAGCTTTCAACTCTAAGTCTTACCTCAGTGTACACCAGAGAACTCATACTGTATGATGTGAGTATCTAACTCCTTATGAATGTAAAGACTGTGGGAAAGCTTTCCATTCCAAGTCTAACCTCAGTGTTCATCAGAGAATTCATACTGGTGAGAAGCCTTATGGATGTAAAGAATGTGGGAAAGCTTTCTATCATAAGTCACACTTCAATTCACATCAGAGAAAACATACGGGTGAGAATGCCAGAAAGCTTTCACTTGCAAGTCCAAGCTTATTGTACATCAGAGAAGACACAGGTGAAAAGCCTTCTGAATGTAAAGATGTAGGAAAGATTATATACTATAAGTCACATGTCGGTGCACATCAGAGAAGTGCTACAAATGAGAAATGTTATGAGCCTAAAGGTTGTGGAAAAGCCTTTCTCTACCAAGTGTCAACTCACAATACATATGTGAACATGTAAATGTGTGTATCCTCATGAATGTAAAGAAGGAAGGAGTGCTTTTTCCTGGGACTCAAAAGAGCACATCTGATAAATCATACTGGTGTGTATCCCTATGAATGTAGAGAATATGGGAAAACTTTCTTTTGGAAGTTAAAACACATTCTACACCAAAATCTCATATAGGTGGGAAGTCCTATGAATTTAAGGAATGCCAGAAAGCTTTCAGTTACAAGTCTAACCTCATGCATCATAGAAAACACACAGGTGAGAAGCTGTGTGAATGTGAAGAATGTGGGAAAGCTTTCTATTGTTACACCTCTGCACATCAGAGAGCTTCTACATGTGTGTATTTTTATGAATGTAAAGAATGCAGGAAAGCTTTCTACTGGAAGTCATAATTAACAACACATCAGGTAACTCGTACAGGTGTGTATTCCCAGGAATGTGAAGAATGTGAGAAAGCTTTCTTGTGGAAGTCACAGCTTACTGAACATAGTAAACTCATAGAAGCCTTATGATTTAGGATTCAGGAAATCTTTTCCCATGAAGCCTCAACTCACTGCACATTAGAGAATTCATAAAGGTGACAGTTCCTGTGAAAGTAAAGAATTCAGGATAAGTTTAAATCAGAAGTGACAACTAATTTTACATTAGATAACACACAAAGGTGAGAAGCTGTATAAATCTTAAGAATGCAAGAAAAATTTCTCTTACAAATTTTATTTCTGCATCAGAAATCTCATGTAATTTACAAGCCTTTTGATGCTAAAGAATTCAGGAAAAAATTTTTCCTATGTTTCCCTAATCACATGAAAGCACATAAAAGAGCTCTCATAAATGTAAAGAATGCAGTATAACTTATTAAGTTGTCATTCCTCAACAGACATCTTTGTTGCACATGAGGAGACTGAGGGATATATAAAAACTTTATACTGTAAGTCAGACCTTACTCAACTACTAAGAACACATTTGTGAGGTGCCATGACATTGAAGAACATAGGAGAATTTTCTATGGTCTGTGCATTAGAGCATTCATAAGTGTGAACATTCTTATGAATTTAAGTGATGTAGGAAGCATTGCAGAATCATTCCTCCAGTTGATTTTAGAGTATATATATATATGCTGTAGGTACTTTGCAAAAATACAAAGGTTTTGTAAGGTTGACCACTGTCACTTGATGTCTGAAAATTCATAAAGGTCAAAAACTCTGTGATGGTATAGACTATGAATCATGAAAAAGAAGTTTGTCACTAATAAAAATATTACTTAAAAGAAACAAGTTTGTCCTCTGTCTACATCACAACCCAATGCACGTTAGAGAACACGTAAAACAAATAATTACCCTGGTAAGTGATTTTACATTTATTTATTTGGTGGGGATAACACATTTATATGGAAGTCAGAGGACAAATTGTTGGAGTCAGTTCTCTCACATGTGGATCTTGGGAATAAACTTTGGTTATCACCTTGGTAGCAAGGGCCTTATACCAACTGAGCCACTGATGAATGCTTTTAATCCTAAGTCCATCTGGGTGTTGGTACATTGCTCCACTGCTGTTCAGAGGTTCAAAGCTTGCCTTAGCAATAGAGTAAGACAAAATATCAAAAATCCAGGAAAACATTCTACTGGCAGTGTCCTTAATGTACAACGAAACTGATAATATGAAACCTTATGAATGGACTATGTGTACAAGTCAGGTAACACACTTAGTTTCAATTCAGCCATATTTCATTAGTAAGACTTTTCTTAATAAGTAAAAGGAATGAATGAATCAACCAGCAAATCAGTCTATACAAAATAATTTCCCATTTCATACACTTGTAGCATTTTACCATTGTGCTAACAAAGAAATTGAATATAAACAAATTTCAGGGGGTTGAGAAAGATTCCAGATGGTATATCACCATGAAATCTGATGAAGAAAAACAAAAAAAGATGAATCATGTTAACAAAATCTGATTTCTTGGTGCTGGAGAGATGGCTCAGTGGTTAAGAACACTGGCTGTTCTTGCAGAAGACCTGGGTTCGAATCCCAGCACCCACATGGCAGTTCCAGTTCCAGGGTAGAGCCTCTTCTGTCCTCCATGGGCATTGCACAACACAGCTGCACTTACCTACATGCAGGCAATACATGCATACACATAAAATAAAAATAATAAATGTAAAAAAATATGATTTCTTTATTTCCACTATTAAAAGAACTTTTGTAGTAATGGTATTGGTTTGAATGAGGAGAGTTCCTTCTCAAGTATTTGAATTCTTGGTACATGGTCCCCAGTTGATGGTACTGTTTGGTGCCATCATGAAACTGCTAAAGGGAGCATATCACTGAGGGTTGGGCTTTGAGAATTTGTACTCTTGCCCCACTTCAAATTTTCTCTCTTTTTCCTGATTATGCTTGAAGATGAGAGTGCTCAGCTTTCTTCTCCAGACACCCCTGCCACCATGCCTCCCTGCCATGATGGACTCTTATCCCTCTGGAACGCTTAAGCCTAAATAACTCCATTTTTAAAAAAACTCCTTATTTTTGTAAGTTGCTTTGGTCATGATATTTTATCACACCTCAGAAAAGTAACTAATAGGTCATTCAGTTTTTACTATTAGTACATGTATTGTATGTACAATAATACCCAAGAAGAACATTAAGAAAGATTTTCTAACAACCCACAGGCCTCTCTCCTGGATAAGTCCAGTGCACCCTCCGTGCCTTGACTCCCCCAGCCTCATTCACACTCCCATCTCCCCCACCCATCTCTCCTCCTAGCCTGCATACTGTCCCATTCCTTGTCTTGGCACCTGGGGGGAATCACCACTGCTTCCTGATCCTTTGCATCCAGGCCAACCCAGGTCCTTCTCAAGGACCCCAGGAGCCCTCTGGGCCTGGTCCTGCCCTCACCTCCCTCTGCTTCCCTGGGCTGCACAACCCTGCAGCCTCTTTCCTGGATGCTGGGGCTGACCTCTTGGCTTCCTGATCCTTTGCATCCAGACCAACCCAGTTTCTCCCTGCAGTCCCCAGGAGCCCTTGGGGCCACTTCCTGCCCCCATCTCCCTTTGCATCTCTGGGTGGCATGGCCATCAGCTGTCTGAGACCAGCATCTTTCCTGGGCCCCACTCCCAGGCCAGTCCAAACCCCAAATTCCTGAGGACAACAACTTTCCTAGAGGGATCCAGACCTTAGGAGAAAGCCTGAGAGCATCTGATCCTCATCTGACTTGGGCCTCTGTAGGAACTCCTGAAGACAAAAGTAATTTGGCCACTCCAATATAGAAACAAAAGAGAGAACTGGAAGCTTAGCCAACCCTGCTTTTCATGCCCAAAAAGTAAACCACAAAGGCACATAAAGTTTACAAAAAGAAGCAGACCTAAACTTGAAGGTTTGAGTCTCACATAAGAATCAGAAACTACAAAAGAAATTCACATGTCAAAATCACAGAGAAGAAATAGTAACATGAAAAACCAAAATAACATATCCCCACTATGTATCAATAGTCCTCTAGAGGAGTAA